CCCATCCCTAAATTAGAAACACAAACAACATTTGCCCCTTTTGTCCAAAGAGCCCTTTTTCAGGTCTTCCATCAGGTTTTTGCATCCCAAACTGTCTTATTTGGATAGGTCAGGCAACAGGACAAGGTGGAAGCTCTGAAGCCTATTTTGCCATAGACCCCGACAAGCTCACTGATGAGCTCTGCCAGGTCATGCTAACATGTGATTGGATTTCCCTGCTGCCAGTTAGACGTTCCACATCTGAGAAGCTGTATTGTCTGATATCACTTGCAAGCGTTGCAGAGAGGCTTTGACCTTGGTCAAAAATGAGTATGGTTCCAAATGCTTGCTCACCTGGTCGGTCTAACTGAGTGAACTGGCGAAGAACTGGCTAGATCAGGAAGTGATCTCCATTTTATTAACTGTTGTTGACAAATTTAGACAAATCAGAATTTAACCCCATCATTCATTAATGTAAAATATAGGACACATTAATCAAACACTTTGGATTTAAACAAATAGTTCATTCTACAAAATATGATTTTATAAAGTTTCAAAGTAATTTATGCCAGGGAAGATAGATTTTGTTCAGAGAGTAAAAGATAAGAAGTTCTGCATCTTGCAGCCTTGAGGACTCATGACGCATGCAGGATGTGCTAAGAATACTGGCTCAAGTTCACTTCTTCATATCGGCACCACGGTGTCAGATTGACATGTATGAAGAAGTTTGGTTCTTTTGGCCTTTTGGTATGCTACAGGTATATTGGTTAGCATCAGTCAAGGTTTCCTTGTTTATGGCAGCTTTGAAAACTAAAACATATATTTATGAACTAACATTACCTTCAATAAATGACACAAAATGAAATATTTTCTTATTTTATTTTATGTTTGAACCCAAGGGTCTCTCATTATCTGAATTTTCAAAGTGTTTGGATTGTGAATCTGTTTAAAATTTTGCTCTAAATGTGCCCCCTTTTTAGCTTTGAGCACCCGCCCCTTCAAAGGTCTCTGAACTGCCCAGAATGCAAGAAATGGCATCTACTCCATAATACTTTTTTTCTGTATGGCCGCCCCCCTAACCCTTATGACCCCTCAGTCCTGCGGATCAGCTGATCAAGAGGCAGAGGACAAGGATAAACCTTTTGATTAACCTTATGTTAATATTGACGTCTACAAAACGCAGCATGGCATCCGTTTCCCTGAAGACAGTTATTCACAAATGAGGCAAATCTTAACTTCTACGAGCGAAAAAAATACATGAAAAATGATTAAATATATCAGGAAACGGGAAGACATATTATTTCTGTTTTTTACATTTTCAGTTCAAACTAGAGTGTTTTCATCACATTTAGCTTGTATTTTATTTAAAATATCTTCTTTGTTCATCTTATGATTTTTGTGTTGCGTTGTTTGGAAAAATAATGGATCATGAGAGTTACTTGAAAGGTTTATTTTTAAAATAAGTGCTTTAAAAGGCATTCCATTCTTTTTCTAATGTTATTGTTCATTCATGACAAAATTACTTAACACTATAAAAAACTGACAAGCTGTGGCGTGTGTGGTGGAACATTCTACGTTGCGACTGGCAAGAGTTTAGACAGCTGTCTAACAGGTCTGCACAATGGTAAACCATCCTGGAGCATGCACAAGTATTTCAAGCAGAGTTGGGTAGCATGAAAGAGATCACAGTCAAAGTCTGTTCAGATATTGCAGATTGGCTATTGGCATCACATCAGCTACAGCGCTGTTCATGGATCAATTCTCAGTGGATTTCAAGGTGCACAGTGGAATTCTCTGTACAGGAGCAAATGATGAAGCACACCACTGCAACTGATGCTACGCTGCAGAGAATAAAAGACTATGGACCAAGGGTTTGCAAGGATAAATGTGAGTTTCGGAAATCATCTGTGGAGTGTTGAAAAAGGTCTGCACACATCCCTTTCAAACTTGCTTTCAAACTGCATGGGTGTACTGCAAGGATCCGTGCTTGGTCCAATACTATTTTCAATGTATATTAATGACCTGCAGGGAAGCAGACCAGGGGGTAAACGGTCAGATGTATGCTGATGACACAATCATTTATGTGTCCACTAAAACACCCAGCCTGGCTGGTGAGCACTTGACATAGGCTCTATCATGCATCTCCAAATGGCTTGAGTCATCACACTTAACTATCATGATAAAACTGTGGCTATATGCTTTTCCATTCGTAATAGGCCTGATCAGGAATCTTTCAAGGTTAAGATTAAGGGAGAAACCACTGTGGTAAAAACCGAAGTGAAGTACTTAGGAATCATTTAAGATAAACATTTAAAATTCAAAAATCAGGTAAAGTACATTTGTAAAAAAGTCAAACCAAACTTAAATTGCTTTCATTTTATTCAATGGAATGTGACACCAAGCTGCAAAACTATACATGCATGCAATGATTTTTTTCTCCCTTATCTTACTGCATTACGTCATGGTCACAGACATTTTCTACTACCTTGAAACCTATAACTACAACATACAAGCAAGCAATGAATAATGGACCACAACCTTTTTACTTTTGAAACCTTTGTTGTTTTTAGCACTCCAAGATTCTTTTTTTAAATGTTTAGACAATAATACATCAAAATTGCTCTCTTAGAAAGGAGTAGCTGTTCCCATGTTGTTGGAAGCACAATAGGGACAATTGTAGACATTTTAAGAAACAGTAGTGAAAACATTTGCATCCCATACTCATGTCACCAGACTTACTATGCCTCTTTTGGTACATGGTCAAACCTGTGGGACCATTTTGGCAAATGTTACAAACCCTGACAGGTGTAAAAAGTGAAGGATGGGGGTAACATAAGAACTGGCGGAGGAGTTTAAAATGGTTTTATTTGTAGCAAAAAGGTATTAGAAACAAGCAAACAGATCTCTCTAAAAGGTTAACATTACACAGCAAATTATCAACTATAAAACACATGGTTACAACTTGTATTAAAAGCCCGAACAGAAGGTGTTTTAAAATCCTGAAGTTGATAAAAGTTCCAAAACAATCCACTGACTAAAAACACCTGGTAAAAACTTATTTTAAAAGCTTTACCACAACGAAAGGTGTTTCAAACCGAGGTCAGTAAAATTGTACAAACAAAGTTAACCTTAAAACCAAACAGCCAAAACGATCCCACTGGATCATCCAAAACTTATCACTTAGAGTTAAAAACTACCACAGTTTAAAACTCAAACAAATCCAAACAAATCTAAACGAAAGGGGTTGAAAACAAACAAAAACCGGGAAAATAGCAGAACCTCTGCACTGCTGACTTTTCAGATAGACATTCTGGACCATTTGCGGACAATTCAATCCAGTTTTTAACCGGAACTGTGTTTTCAGACACACCACTTTTGTACCGGAACTTGTCCTTTCGGCTGCGTTCACACAGCAGGGAAAAGTTCCAGATGTCTGACGGCGGCGGGGGGTGGGGTGGGTAGAATCGGACTTATGTTAAGAAGAAGAAGAAGAAGAAAATATAATTTCTATAGCGCCTCTCAAGATAAAAATCACGAGGCGCTTAAGCATAATTCTGCGCACACGAAGACGCATAAGAGACCTGGACGATGAAGCTCAATGGTTAAAGGAATCACTGAAGCGGTGTGAAGCGCTCCGTCGCATGTCTAGGCGGTACCGTAGGTGGCGAGCTGCCGTGGTTTGCCGCATGCTACAGCAGCGGGCTATCTAGGTGCGCATGGCGTCCCCCGGTCCCCTCCTCCTCCCCCTCCCCGTTGTCCGGAACTCTGCCTCACCAGTCTGAAGCAGCCACCCTGTCCGTAACAAGTCCGGACCTGTTACTAGGGGCTTCGTCCGGTTACATTCCGGAACACGTTATGCGGATGTTTGTATTCAGACACAAAGGTCTTACGGACAGAGTCCGGAACATTTCCGTTTTTCATGGCCTGTCTGAAGGGGGCTCCCCAGACTGCTGAAGGCACAGCCTTTTTATACAGGTGTTGGCAATCAAGGGAGATTCAGCTCAGCTGTGCTCCTCAGCAGCCCGGGAAAGAGGAGGAGGAGGGGCGGTGTCAGTCTGTTTCACCAGAGCTGGGTGATCCTGGCTCCTGCTCCTCCCTGGCCAGACTGGCAACCGTAACACCCCCACACATGAAAGAAGAAGAATAAAAGTTAGTAAAATAAAAAAACTAAACACTCTAAACCTAACTTTTAGAACTTTTTCTTGAAAAAAAAAACTCTGGATGATGAGGGAACACAGGACTCTCGGGGATGAGGGGATGAAGACTCTCAAAGGGCCGAAGGGGACGAAGACCCTCGAAGGGACGAAGACCCTCAAAGGGGCGAAGGGACGAAGACCCTCAAAGGGGCGAAGGGACAAAGACCCTCAAAGGGGCGAACGGAGGAAGACCCTCAAAGGGGCGAAGGGACGAAGACTCTCAAAGGGGCGAAGGGACGAAGACTCTCAAAGGGGCGAAGGGACGAAGACTCTGAAGGGTGACGAAGACTCTGAAGGGTGACAAAGGGCCAAAATCTCAACAGGATTAAAAAAATAAGAGAACCCCTGATAAAAAAAACAAAAACAGGCTATTTAAAAATCCTAATCTTCATGCACGTCGCGGGCGGGCAGATTAAGCACATGTGCTAATGCACATACAAACCAGTGAAGGGAGGGGGGTTAGCCACTGCCCTTCCTGGGGTGCTCCAGAGATGGTGAGCTGAATCGCCAACAGTAACCCACTAGGTGCAACACCTGAGCCTGCCTGTGGGGGTCATCCACGTTTTCAATCCTCTACTCATGCTTGGCTGGATCCTCCTGTGGGGGCGGGGCCTCCAAATGCACCCGCCAGTGATCCACAAATCCATCTGCTGCTTAAAACCTTTAAAACAAATAAAACACCATTAAAATACCACCACCAGGGGATTTTTGCATTCCTTCACGGTCTGATGTTAAAATAAAAATCCCGGATGAGCCCCCATTTGTTACGTCCCCGACAGGTGTTGTAAAAATGTGAAGGATGGGGTAACATAAGAACTGGCGGAGGAGTTTCAAATGGGTTTATTTGTAACAAAAAGGTATTAAAAACACAAGCAAACAGATCTCTCTAAAAGGTTAACATTACACAGCAAATTATCAACTATAAAACACCTGGTTAAAACTTGTATTAAAAGCTTAACCGAACAGAAAGTGTTTTAAATTCCTGAAGTTGATAAAAGTTCCAAAACAATCCACTGACTAAAAACACCTGGTAAAAACATATTTTAAACGCTTTACCACAACGAAAGGTGTTTAAAACCGAGGTCAGTAAAATTGCACAAACAAAGTTAACCTTAAAACCAAACAGCCAAAATGAGCCCACTGGATCATCCAAAACTTATCACTTAGAGTTAAAAACTACCACAGTGAATACGAAGCCGTTATCTAATCCCTGCAATAAAAAATTCCAATCTTCTGGTTTAAATAACCTCACAGATCCGTAAGGTGGATTTCATAGTTCCTATGGAATCCTACGCCTTATGGCTTATTAAATAACATGTCATTTAAATCATTACATCAAGTTGATCAAAACAGTTTTTCAGTGTCTTGTTCAGTGATGGTCCAGCAGGACAAATTCCTTCTGCTGCCTTTTTTTATTCCGCATTACTGACTCGTTCTCAGTAACCAGCTGCCTCTCCACGTTTCCTTTTGTCAGACACTGCGCAAACGCAGCCGTCTACCTTTTCCACAGCGTTGACCACGTTGTAAAATTTGCCTGGAGGTTCATGATTGTGTCCTCGAGCTTTAAGGGTCTTAATAACATCCTGAGGAAAAAAATTAGAGTTAAATCTCATGAGACAAAAGGAGGATAATGTGTTATTTGAGCATGTTAACACCTGAATGGTTTACCTCATCAAAGCCTGGTTCAAACTTTGCTGCATTTTTAGAATTAATAAAAACAACAGGAGAGGCTATTGCCTCTTTAAGGCTCTTTCCAAACCAAAGGTGGTTGATGAGCGCCTGAAACAGAAACAAAACAAGATAAATATAACAATAAGAAGAAGAAGAAACAATTTTTATATAGACCAATTTAGTGAGCAAATTGTGGAGGTCGCCATTTTGCTGCGCAGCCATTGTTGCATTGGCATTCGTCAGGGATTCATTCATTCTCCTGTTATTGTAAACTGACTCTCTGTGACAGCATGATGTAAACCTAAATTAATTATGCTAGAAAGTGGCCTCCAGTGACTAATGAAGAAGGTATGTTAACTCAATACCAACAAAATTTAAGAAAGAATTATTTGAGCGACAAACAGGAAAGATTACCGTGGAGATAACAGACTGTACCGCTAAACACTGCACACATAACTTAGGTGTGCAGAAGTTAGTAAGCTAACAGTGATGTTCAATCATTGTGGACAGTAGGCTGAACCTTTGTTTTGACAAGAGTGATTTATTTATTTTTTTATTTATATGCCAGAGTACGTTAAAAATCGCTCATGCAGGTGCACAGACATTTTAAACGGTACACACAGAGAAAATGGCGGTGGTAAATTAGTCCATTAGGAGAAGATTCCCATCAGAGCATCTGAGCATTTTCTCACACTTCTCTGCATCTCACTGCTGACCGTGCATGCACAAGCTAACAGCTCGTCCTTTTTTCAGAGTTTTGCCAACATCTAATTATTTCATTCTGAGAAATTTTCTGATTTAAAAACTTTGGCAGAAGTAGTGCTGGTTATTCCAGCACTCGTTTCAAATCCAACCACTAGTGTAGGAGCTGAGTGTGGATTCAGCCTCTGGAACAACAATAAAACAGTCTGATGAGCCTGTCCAAGCCAGACTCGCTAGAGCCTCTTGACTACAGCCTCTTCAGCAAGCCTCTCATCTGAGGATGGACAAGCAGGTGCACAGTTCAGGTTTACGTGGATCAGCAGGTTACTAAGTAACTTTTGTCAGATTGTTTTTTGTCAACTATTAATTAAAAATAACTAAAATGTAATGGTAGTGAACGTTTATCTGTCATTATTTTAACAATGAAAGTGAAAATGGATCATGCAACATCTGCTGCGAGCAAATGCCCTCAGAGTGTGTCCAAATGCAGCACCGATTCATTCAATTTTCTACTCACACTCATAAAAGAAAGGCCGTTATGTTTAGAAGAAGATGAGGTTGTGTTTCAACACTAAAACCGAGAGTTATTAAGAGTTTTCTGCTGCCGATGACTGCAGACGTCCACCCAGCCCTCCTAGACATGTTCACTTAACAACTTCCACTTCTTGTGGCTCATTCTTAAAAGCCCACTGCGCACATGGCTGTCTGACTGACGGGCTAACTCTAACCCTCTGTCACCACAGTAATGGTGGCGGCTCGACATCCGGTTGTTTCCTCAAATTGGTCTTTAGCGCTTCTAAAGATCAAAGTCATGAAGTGCTTCACAAGAACAAAAAAGAAATATAAAAGGATTAATTCTCATTCTATGTGTTGTCTTTATCTTCATGACCATTTACATTGGTGGATTCTCACTGAAGGCATCAAAACTATGAATGAACACATGTGGAGTTATGTACTTAACCAAAAAGATGAAATAACTGAAAACATGTTTTACATTCTATTTTCTTCTAAATAGCCACCCTTTGCTCTGATTACTGCTCTCTTGGCATTCTCTTGATGAGCTTCATGAGGTAGTCACCTGAAATGGTTTTCCAACAGTCTTGAAGGAGTTCCCAGAGGTGTTTAACACTTGTTGGTCCTTTTGTAAATGGTCATAAAATAAAGAAAACACATTGAATGAGAAGGTGTGTCTGAACTTTTGGCCTGTACTGTATATTTACTTGGGTTAAAGGTGTTAAATATAAGTGTCACATTGGGTGAAGCTAACCTCTCCATGAGTTTTCCTGTTTGCAGGTGGGCGCGCCCGGAGAGCAGCTGCTGCGAATTCTCTCATCAGCTCGCAGGGGATTTAAGGAGTGGTGTGACAACTCACCAGTGCCGGATGATTACTCACATTGGATAGTATACACCAGCTCTAGACCTGTTTCTAGTTGTTTGCATCCTGTTCTGCCTGTTAAAGCCTCATCATCACCTGTCCCGTTCCTCCGTTCTCCCACCCAGGTACTCTCATCATCTGCCTGTTACCAGCTCGTCAACCTGGACTCCCACCTGTTACAACAAGGAGCCTCCGGATCTCCTGTCCACCCACCACACCGCTTCTCCCTTTGGCCGTCTGCTCTCCTGCGCTCACCTGCCCGCTCCTGGAACTGGTGCTCAGCTCCCAGCCTCCTCAAACAGCTTCCACTCAGACCTGACACGCCCTCCTCTCAACGCTCCACTACCTTACTGGAATCCGTAAGCCTCCATTCTTATCACACCTTCCCAGTCTGCTTTACATTACTCATTCTTGTTCTCTGTCTCAGAACGCTGCCAGAACCGCCCTCCGACGTCTCCCCAGCCTCGTCAAACTCAATAAATATATTATTTTTACTCACTTTCTCTTCGAAATTCTGCATGTAGTGGGTCAAAAGGCTCGATCCTAACATGACAATACGTCTCATCTCTGTTTCCCTGCAGTGCCCTGGGAAATTTTGTATGAATCGTGGAATTTAATTATTCCTAGGTTGTTTTTTTTTTACTTTTTAGTCTGAGTATGGAATTCATCGCTGCTGCATTTGAATGCACTCTGAGGGTGCATTTGCTCGCAGCCAGAGGTCACATTATTTATTTTTTACCATCCCTTTTGTTCTTAAAATAAAAATGCACACAATACTAATACTATATGCACACTATACTAATATACATACATTTCCATTCCTTTTTTTATTTAGTCCAAATAAGCTCAACGAAATTCCCACAGTAACATAAAAACAATGTAATTTCGATTTCACTTAAATTATGAACCTTTCACCGGCTGCAGCCGAATGCACATTCCTTCTGCTCCACGTAAACCTGAACAGGTCACCTGCTTGTGCATAATCAAATGTTTCTTGGGAGTTTGCTGTTCTGGATGAATCCACGCTCAGCTGACACACCGGATTTGAAGTGGTTGCTGAAAATTCTCGCCAAATGAAATGACCAGAAGTCTATCAGACTCTCTGAAAGTTAGCAAGGTTTCCACATTCCAGATCTAGAAGCACTTATTGCGCTGCTTAGCACAATGTTATCCTTAGAATACAATGCCACCAATTTGCAATGCCAAGCAGGCATTAGAGAGCTTAAGGTTGATTATAAGTGGTCAGAACGTGGCACAATCAATTCTTTTTTTCTTTTTCTTTTTTAACAAAAGAAGGGGCGGTCTGTGCACTGCAGCTGACTTCCGTTTAACTTGGACATAGCTTGCTTTTTATTGCGACTGAAGCCAGGCTCATTTTTTTTGACAAGTCGCTCCTAAAGGTGGGTGTCCTCCACAGTCCGTGTGCAGACTCTGGTAAACTGAGCTCCAGCGCTAATGGAGAGAAGCTCCTGGAGATCTGCATTGCTCCAGTTTATCATCTCAGCTGATTCCGTTTACAAAAGTAAAACGTATTGCTGTGTTTACTTGCATTTTCAATTAAGCTGCCAGCCGGAGCTCAGCAGTAACTCCCATCGTGATCATGACATCTCCCCCTGTTGCGCCAAGTATTATGCATTCAGGAGTCTGGCCTTGTATGGCGTTTAAAGCGTGCCACAACCCGTGCACGCGCATTGGGTCCACAGCGCGCGTGTGAACGGGACTCGCGAGCGGAAATATACATGGCGAGAGGTCATTTGTGCACTGAGAGGGAGCAAACTGTGTCTGTGAGCGCACAAGGATGTGTACAAGTGACAAACCTGCGTGCGCGCTTTGTCAACGAGCACACGGCAGAGGAAAACGTGCGCGCGCGGCAGCCTCTGTGCGCGCTCGGCAGCCTCTCTGCGCGCTCGGTTTCTGACTCCTGCTCGCTCGGCTGTAAGGGTTTTGGCACTCTGGAGGCGTGGCCTGTGGCAGATCTCCTCTGTCCTCTGATTGGTTAGTGTACCCCGCACTTTACCCTCTACCTATCTATATAAAAAAGTCTGCTAGTCAAGTAGTCGCTGGCATAGCTCAGTTGGAAGAGCGGGTGACTCTCGCCCCGGAGGATCCAGGTTCGAGGCCGGGCAAGGAAAATGCAGTAGATGTCATGTTAATTTTTCTTAATTTCAGGTATTTTACAGTTGTGACCGTTCGACTGTCATTAAACGTCCGAATGTTTGCTGGGCAGTGTTTTAAAAAGTGCACATAAGCTAGATGGTTTTAACCATATAAAATTACATTTTTTGTGATACTGGAAAAATACATACTGAAATAAAACTACTGATTGAAAACTTTATGACTGTGGTTGTACAATATATGACTCACTAATACACTGCAAACTCCCTTAGAGTGGGGCTGAGAGAGAGAGAGAGAGAGAGAGAGAGAGAGAGAGAGAGAGAGAGAGAGAGAGAGAGAGAGAGAGAGAGAGAGAGAGAGAGAGAGAGAGAGAGAGAGAGAGAGAGAGAGAGAGAGAGAGAGAGAGAGAGAGAGAGAGAGAGAGAGAGAGAGAGAGAGAGAGAGAGAGAGAGAGAGAGAGAGAGAGAGAGAGAGAGAGAGAGAGAGAGAGAGAGAGAGAGAGAGAGAGAGAGAGAGAGAGAGAGAGAGAGAGAGAGAGAGAGAGAGAGAGAGAGAGAGAGAGAGAGAGAGAGAGAGAGAGAGAGAGAGAGAGAGAGAGAGAGAGAGAGAGAGAGAGAGAGAGAGAGAGAGAGAGAGAGAAGTTCTTGCCTCATTAATGAATTGTTTATTTTTTTCAGTATTTAATTGACAAATTATCCTTTCAAATAATTAATTGATGAGTTACATAATTGTCCATTTAGAATTGTTGAATGGACTGAGTCAAGTTTGGTGCACTTTATATATTTCAAAACATGTTTTTTTTTTAATTTTAATGATGCATATAAATAATTTAAATGTTAATTTAATGAAATATTTCTATTTTTTCATTACCTCACCCTTGTTTTGACAAAAACGGGACCTTGCTGGATAATATCATGGAGAAACTATTTGTTCACAGTACATGGCTCCGTAAGGATCTGTGTACCAAAGGAGGAGATACTCAGAAATCTGTCTGCAGATTGTTACAACCCAGACTGGAAGTGGCGGGCTGTAATAAGAAAGGAGACCAAACAGAGGAGTGGGGGGTTCAACAACTGATTTATTTAACAAAAGTAAGGATTTACTAAAGCAAGTTAGTGAACAGAAAATGGCCATCTCAAGGTTTTACTCGGATGTCCCTCAGCAGGGTGCAGCACTGTTGAAGGTCATCTGAATGAAAGCTTGATATGCAGTTTCTTTATGAAAGTGTGTAAATATACAGTGTGGTTGCCGTACATATGTTGAGGTTCTCAGACATCAGGCTTCTTTGCCCAGGCCTTCACTAGTGGGCTATTTTAAAAGTTGGTAAGGAGAAAAACCACAGCATATAGCTGATTGTTTACAAATGCAAGGAGGGGAATAACAATCAAAATGCTTGTGTTCTTGGACCAGATGAATGGAGCGCTCCACATGCACTCAGAGATGTTATGGCTTCTGTTTCTATAACTTTACATGCAGACATTTGAGGTTTACCAGAAAGGAAAGCTGGCCTGTACACTTTGCAGGGCACAATGTCATCAATGAAGAAACCCCTGTCTACCAAGATGACCATCTCTAGTTGTAGCATTTTCAACACACCAGATTCCCAGGTTGGTCGCTGATAGTTCCAGCATACAGTGCTGAGACAAAGGTCACTGGCCTATGTGGCACAATCCAAATGAGCCTCTTCAGAGTGCAGTTGAACTTGAGGAAAATATATGACTCTGGAAGAGAGGGGAATATGGCCATTGACACCTCAGATCAGTGCAGTCAAGAATTACTGGTGTTTGGGTAGTCCTGAACGTGTTGTGATGCCCCCACCGTCTCATTGGGTTTTCATTTGTGTTTAATTGTGTTTTTCTTCTGTTGTAGGCAGCTGGTTAAGCAGCCTTGGAGGCACCTGGGCTCAGGGTGTGGTGCTGCCTACAAAGCCTACTGTTTTTCTGCTTTCACTGGGTCTCTCCTGTGTGGTGGAGAGTCCTCACTGGCCATTTTCTGTTCACTAACTTGCTTTAGTAAATCTTTACTTTTGTTAAATAAATCAGTTGTTGAACCCCCACTCCTCTGTTTGGTCTCCTTTCTTATTACAGCCCGCCACTTCCAGTCTGGGTTGTAACAATCTGCAGACAGATTTCTGAGTATCTCCTCCTTTGGTACACAGATCCTTACGGAGCCATGTACTGTGAACAAATAGTTTCTCCATGATATTATCCAGCAAGGTCCCGTTTTTGTCAAAACAAGGGTGAGGTAATGAAAAAATAGAAATATTTCATTAAATTAACATTTAAATTATTTATATGCATCATTAAAATTAAAAAAAAAACATGTTTTGAAATATATAAAGTGCACCAAACTTGACTCAGTCCATTCAACAATTCTAAATGGACAATTATGTAACTCATCAATTAATTATTTGAAAGGATAATTTGTCAATTAAATACTGAAAAAAATAAACAATTCATTAATGAGGCAAGAACTTTTCTCTCTCTGTCTCTCTCTCTCTCTCTCTCTCTCTCTCTCTCTCTCTCTCTCTCTCTCTCTCTCTCTCTCTGGAAGCCCCACTCTAAGGGAGTTTGCAGTGTATTAGTGAGTCATATATTGTACAACCACAGTCATAAAGTTTTCAATCAGTAGTTTTATTTCAGTATGTATTTTTCCAGTATCACAAAAAATGTAATTTTATATGGTTAAAACCATCTAGCTTATGTGCACTTTTTAAAACACTGCCCAGCAAACATTCGGACGTTTAATGACAGTTGAACGGTCACAACTGTAAAATACCTGAAATTAAGAAAAATTAACATGACATCTACTGCATTTTCCTTGCCCGGCCTCGAACCTGGATCCTCCGGGGCAAGAGTCACCCGCTCTTCCAACTGAGCTATGCCAGCGACTACTTGACTAGCAGACTTTTTTATATAGATGGGTAGAGGGTAAAGTGCGGGGTACACTAACCAATCAGAGGACAGAGGAGATCTGCCACAGGCCACGCCTCCAGAGTGCCAAAACCCTTACAGCCGAGCGAGCAGGAGTCAGAAACCGAGCGCGCAGAGAGGCTGCCGAGCGCGCACAGAGGCTGCCGCGCGCGCACGTTTTCCTCTGCCGTGTGCTCGTTGACAACGCGCGCACGCAGGTTTGTCACTTGTGCACATCCTTGTGCGCTCACAGACACAGTTTGCTCCCTCTCAGTGCACAAATGACCTCTCGCCATGTATATTTCCGCTCGCGAGTCCCGTTCACACGCGCGCTGCCATGTATATTTTCGCTCGCGAGTCCCGTTCACACGCGCGCTGCCATGTATATTTTCGCTCGCGAGTCCCGTTCACACGCGCGCTGTGGACCCAATGCGCGTGCACGGGTTTTGACACGGGTATGACGCGATAGCCTTGCTGCTCAATTACTACCAAGCGTGGCAGCACTAATGTCAAAAAAATCCCTGCAAAACCATGCCACCACATCGCATCCATAAGACACACCATGGTGGCAGTGACTTACCAACATGGTGTTTTCTAAAAAGTGCAAGCTCCTCAGCCTGCCGCTTACACACACTGTCAGCGGCGAGATGCGGAGAATGTGTGAGAAAATGTTCAGGTGCATTGATAGAAATCTTTTCTTGGTTGATGCTCTCTGTGCATAACATGTGAAATATCTGCACAACTGCATAAGTCATTATTAAACCAACTCACAGCCAAACAAATAAATCAACTAATCGCCTCTTTTAAAAACAACCGGTAATTAAAAGGAGACGGTAATTAATTAGTTTGCTCGTTACTGGTAGTTCCTAACTCTGCTCAGCCCATCGTCAACGGTCAAATAATTCATCCCATCACACAACCTTAATATATAGTACATTAAATTATCTAAAAGCATCATAAAAAGGTGTAATTGAAAAAATTCTAACTGAAAAATGAGAAGATGGACAAAAATGAAAACGCAAAAGGTAACGCAGGAAACTGAGAAAGGCAGACTTTGTACAGATAGCAGCATGAAAAGAAGTTTGTGAGGAAGAATCAGCAGGAGTTCACCAAAAGCCAGCCTGAACAGGTGAGTTTTCAGCTGCTTTATAAGAGCCCTGTGAGTCTACTGAAATAGCATATGGATCATGATTATAGGTGTAGACCCTCATTAGTGGTCGTGACCAGAGTGAGGAGGACTAGTGTGCAGCTCTTATTCCAAACGGTACTTAGTGTGATCGTCATGGTGACGTACCGAGGCCAACCCAGTCGTGATCATACTCCCACCAGACGCTCCAATCAAAAGAATCTTTGACTGAGACTTCAGCACAACAGGGGCCATAGAGGAGGGGGGTTGCTCTCCTGTAAACACAACGAAAGCTGTAATTGACAGGACAGACAGCTGCAATTCAAGACAGGAAAGAATACAGATAAAGAAGAAATTATTATAATTTATTGAAAAATGTGAATAAAATCTGGCATACGCTGATGAAGGTTCTAAGTCATCCAGGTCATGGTAATCCAAAGGGCTTCAAATGAAGGCATGTTTCATACTGGATGTGTGTCTACATTTTTTCAACGTCTCTGATCTAATTCTAAGTTAACTAATTTGGGGAGAAGTTGTCCAAAGCAGTTTTTCACAGTTTTACGTGTTCCATTTGTGTTCTGCAAGGGGGGACCCCACGGATCCAGCCACGATGCCAACATGGAAGTAACAAAAAATGCAGTTCTCCTCTTATCCACTAGGGGCTGGTATGCCAGAAGTGAGCAAATTCTCATTTACTCCCATGCTAGTTCCGGGGAAGGCCTCAGCCTCGGCCCCATGTTAATAGATGTTCAGCCATTTCAACTCTGAACTTTAGTTTCTGTCCACTGTGTGTTCATGTTTGGATGTTAATCGTGGAATTATTTGGGCAAAGAGGGCAAACAGATCGATGCTCGATGTCTAACCCCAATAAGAGATCATCCAAGAAGGCTCTGCTTCAATTTTATCAGTAAGTAAAATTATATTTCTGTTCTCTATTTCACTGGTTGAATGGGGGAAAATGCTCTGCATAACACAGCTTGGTCAACAATGGTTGAAATATAACATGTTGGTAGGGCTTACTGGATGACAAAACTGAAACTAGGTAAGTTAGCCAAGGCAAGCAGAAGCTTCCGGGCTTCGCTGGACCACTCCAGTCAAAGATCTGCGAGGTCACTGCTACAGAAGTTAGGTTTGTTGAGTTTCTGTAATGTTTCTCTCCCTTTAGCAACATCAGCACTGCAATCAGAGCTCCACAAATCTGCCGCTCCATCCTCCCAGACGTAGTGAGGCAGGCGCCTGGCTTCTGGCCGGGAACAGCTGCTATGCACAGCTGGCTGTCCGCTCCCGTCTCCGAGGGCAAACAATCCACGCTGCCGCCTGGCTTCCATGTGAGACTCTACTTGTGCGGGTCGCCTTTGGAGCTCTCTGAGAGAGACCACTGAAACACTGCAGCTCTTTGAGTTGATGCTGCTTCACTTTGGAGAACCTCCATTGGCTTCGGGTTAGCACATAACTAATGTCCCGCTGAAGTCGGAGGAGTGGACCATGAGTTCATGCGGCCCGGGTATCCGGCTCTAATCGCAGCGCTCTGAGGTTGTGAGGCTTTTAACAGTCAATTGTAGCTCCTAACTCTGTTCTGAGTTTTTGGGTGTCAATAATTTGCTCCTACCCTCACAGCACTACACTCAGCTCCACCTCTTTTCCCATTTTAGGATTGTCTGGGCGCAACAAGACGTGTGACATGGCCAAGATAGCGGTGGTGGAAACTGTCAATTTGGCTTAATTTTAGAATTTTAGAGGAACATGGGAGGGCTTTGTCCAGGATTATTATATGTCTCTGGTGTTCTGAGGCCCACAAAGCCACTAGAGAGACTATTTCCTTATTTGTGTCCTTGTGCTGATCCACCGGCGAGAACAGCTCAGTTCTGAAGATTTTTGGTTGTTTGAACAACCTCAGGTTGGAGGGACAGGAATGAGCTCTAAATTCACAAGCAAATCACTAGTTTTAGTGGAGCCCGTTACAAAGTGTATTGACACAAATCCAATGTCAAATAAATATTTAGATACACAGTGTTCAAGTGTTTATCGTGACTATTGTTTTAGGACGGGGCCTAACATTTAAACAAACAAAAATATGTCATAAACACAGATTCTCACTATTAATTAGAGTTTTTCTTTTACGGGTTAAAATATATTTCTATTTAGTTTTATTGTTCTTATTTAGGAATAAGACCAAAAGCCAGAGCTTGAAGCTCTGTGAGTTTGTAATATTTTGTACTTTCAGCTAAATGATAATGAACATGTTTAACAGGATTTTCTGTAAAAATTGGGGCAAACGTTAATTTTAAATACCGTACCAGCCATTATATATTATTTAGTGATTAAATAACAGTATGTTTATGTGATTACCAGGGGAGAAGCTGTTGGCTCTGCCACAAAAGTCAGCCAGCTCATTGTTGAGGATGACACCGGTGCTTGAGGAGTATATCCTGGAGCCAAATCTGTTAAGAATAAACAATAAGCTTAGACAAACTGGATCTAGACACAATGGCTATGAATACATGGGCACAAGTAAAGGAAATGAATGCCCTAACAGGTCAAAAATTCTTCATGCAAACATGTCAGTCGGAATATTCTGATCCAATATAGCCCGATAAGAATTAAATTCCATTACGATTGGGAGAGGTGGTTTTGTTCGGTCACCATTCCAATTGGCATCCATGTACACACCCATTCGAATTGGTGGAGTAAAATAATGCCCACTGCGCATGTGGGACAAGTCAAGAACATGGCGGAAGGGGATCAGAATGGGTCCACAATGAGGGGAAAATACGTGAGGCAATGAAAAAATCCAGAGATCAAAGAAATAAAATGTGAGGGAAAAGACGTACAAACAAGATGGTATTTGTTTACAATAATTTTTCCAGGAAAGACAACTCAAGCTCAACCTATTTAATCTGATTGAATGCTTGGTGCATGTATATTCACAGCATGATCGGATAATTCCAATTAGTGTCCATGTAAACATATATTTGGGATTTCCAATCAACCAAGATTTAAATCGGATAGGTGAAATTTGGCGCATGTAAACGTAGCTAATGACACCAGAACATTTATTGTGTTTGCTCTAGCTTTAGAAAGAAATAAAAACTGCTGCAATAATGCTGTAAAACTTATGATGTCTGCTGATGCTCTGAAATCCTCTGATGAAATTTCCTCTTTAAATTATCATAAATTCTCTCTGCTTAAACCAACACTGACATGTGTGAGCTGAACTCCAGATGTAAGGCAGGAGTGTGTATCTACTGACATGTGATTGATGGTGCTGGTGACAGAAACAGCAGATCCATCTTCAGCCAGCACGGACACGTGTGTGGTACCCAGGCTGTCCAGATATGAGGAGGTATTGTAATACTGGGGATCATGTGTCCTGTCACTACTGATTAAACTCCGAATGTGGCTGCTAAAGTCAGTGTTCATCATTTCTTTGGCCATCTGTAAAAATAAGAATCACACACAAACTCAAAAATGCTTCATGTTATGATGTGGCATTATGACAACTTCCTCAATAAGAGACTAACAATGACACACACACTCACACACGCACAATTAACAAACACATATATATAGAACATATATACACTCACACTCACTTACTGGCCACTTAACTGGGTCCACCTGTGCAAATGCCTGTTAACCCTAATTACTAATCAGCCAATCACATGGTGGCAACTCAATGCATTTAGGCATGTTGACATGGTCAAGACCATCTTCTGCAGTTCAGACTGAGCTTCAGAATGGGGAAAAAAGATGATTTAAGTGACTTTAAACGTGGCATGGTTGGTGGTGTCTGGTCTGAGTATTTCAGAAACTGATGATCTTCTGTGATTGTCATGCACAAACATCTCTAGGGTTTACAGAGAATGGACCGAAAAGGGGAAAACATACAGAGAGCGGCAGTTCTGTAGGCAAAAATGCCTTGTTGATGCCAGAGTTCAGAGGACCATGGCCAGACTAGTTCAAGCTGATAGAAAGGCAACAGTAACTCAAATAACCACTTGTTACAACCAAGATATGCAGAAGTATTGTTGAACATGTCTAACCAGGAGGCAGATGAGCTTCTGCAGCAGAATACCACACTAGGTGCCACTCCTGTCGGCTAGGAACAGGAAACCGAGGCTACAATTTCCACAGGCTCACCAAAATTGGACAATAAAGTTAAAAAGTTAAAGTCCCATTAGTTGTCACACACACAGGTGTGTGTGCAAAATTTGTTCTCCACATTTGACCCATCCCCTGGGGGAGCGGTGAGCTGCAGACACAGCCGCGCTCGGGAAATAGAAGATATTCAATAGAAGATTGAAAAAAAATGTTGCCTGGTCTGAAAGCTCGAATCATCTCAGACTGGTTTCTTGAACATGACAATGAGTTCACTGTACTCAAATGGCCTCCACAGTCGCCAGATCTCAATCCAATAGAGCACCGTTGGGATGTAGTGGAATGGGAGATTTGCATCATGGATGTGCAGCTGACAAAACTGCAGCAACTGCATGATGCCATCAAGTTACTATGGACCAAAATCTCTGAAGAATGTTTCCAGTACCTGATAGAATCTATGCCACAAAGGTTTAAGGCAGTTTTGAAGGCAAAAGGGGGTCCAACCTGGTACTAGCAAGGTGTACCCAGTAAAGTGGTCAGTGAGTGAATTGTAATGAATCAAAAGGGTCAATTTTCACTATCGAATTAACACGGTGACCTTTCATACATGTCAGAGCTGCAAAATCAAGGTTACACCAGCTGGAGTATCCAGAGATGAACCTTTCGCTCACTTATTGTTCTTCAATGCAGACATAAATAAACTGTCAAGGTCTCCCACAAAAGCCCTTCTCTCTTTGCCCAGATTGCTGGAATTCCTCTCTCTGAATAAAAGTGAATCCACACGAATCCTACAAGACTTTACAACTTATAAGTTAAATAATCATATATAATGAATGAACAAGATGTTTAAATCAAACGTTTGAATAACCTGTGCTTAAATCAATGAATTAGAAATGAATGTTGCTGGTATAATTATCCATTTGTATCACAAATCACTATGAGTTTGATTTAACAAGTTAATCATACATTTGATTTAAACACATTGTTCATTCAGTTTGGGCAGAGAGAAGGGCTTTTGTGGGAGACCTTGACAGTTTAATTATGTCTGCGATGAAGAACACTAAGTGAGCAAAAGGTTGATTTGTGCGTCTGAATCCTCCAGCTGGTGTAACCTTGACTTTACAGCGCTGGCATGTATGAAAGGTTACTGTGTCAATTTGATGGTGAAAATTGACCCTTTTGATTCATTACAGTATCTACATGTAAATAAACACCCCCATCTAACCCTCCATGGATGGTCTCATCCTTTCAAGCTCGGGTCTTCTACCAGAGGCCTGGGAGCTTGAGGGTTCTGCAGTATCTCAGCTATTCCTAGAACTGCATTTTTATGGACTGAGATGTCTGATATTTTTCCTGGAATCTGTTTAAGCCACTCCTCCAGTTTGGGGGCTATAGCCCCGAGTGCCCCAATGACCACGGATGCCACCGATGTCTTCACTCTCCAGGCTTTCACAATTTCTTCTTTGAGGCCCTGGTACTTCTCTAGTTTCTGGTGTTCCTTTTTCCTGATGTTGTCATTATTTGATATTACCACATGAACCACAACAGCTGTCCTCTGTTGTTTGTCCACCACCACAATGTCTGGTTGGTACGCCCATTACCATATTGTCGGTCTGGATCTGGAAGTCCCACAGGAGCTTGAGCTTGGCTCACTCGTTTTCTACCAACTTAGGGGGTGTTTCCCACTTTGACTTTGGGGCTTCCAGTACATACTCTGCTCAGATGTTCCTGTACACAATGCCAGCCACTTGGTTGTGCCATTCCATGTATGCTTTCCCTGCCAGCTTCTTACACCCTGCAGTTGTGTGGTGGATTGTCACAGGGATCTCTTTGCATTGCCTTCACCTTGGGTCTCGTCTGGAGTAGTAGATCTTGGCCTCTGTTGCTCTGGTGTTCAGGGCCTGCTCCTGTGCAGCCACGGTGAATGCTTCTGTGCTTTCTTTCAGACCAGCTCTTTTTAGCCATTGGTAAGATTTCATTTTTAAAATGCAAAAAAAAATAAAAGTCACATTTTTGTTGCCCTCAACTAAAATGGCTGCCTAGCGCGGCTGTGTCTGTCGCTCACTGCTCCCCCAGGGGATGGGTCAAATGTGGAAAACAATTTTCAAACACACCAGTGTGACAATTAGTGGGACTTTAACTTTAACTACCTCATCCTGAAAAGTTTGGCCACCTTTAGTTTACAGTTTATGCAGTTGATCCACATCTTTATTCTCATTATTTAAAGCTAATTACTTAAAAATAATTGCAAGCCAACTATTTTAATGTTTTCTGAAACTTTTTGGTAGTACCTACTTTGTCTGAAAAAAAGCGTGGGTCACGGATGTGTGACTTCAGTCCATTGGCAAATTTAAAAGCTTCAATGTAGCGATGATAAAACAATGTCTTTTCATCATCAGAGCGAGGAGGTGATTTCATCTGAAACCCTGTGAACAGAAAAGTCTTTTTTTATATTTGTTTCTATTGTGGTCAAGATATTTTATTATAATAAAGTAAAACCAGTGAAAGTGTAAAGAAAGAGCAGGAACCTGTCATGATGTTGAGGATGAGGCTGAGGAGGAACCCTCCTGCAGGAGGTGGAGGTGTGTACATCTGGTACTCTCCTATAGGGACAATCCATGCATCAGTCACTGTAACGTTATACGATGCCAGGTCCTCCAGCGTGAGTTTTCCTCCTAAACAAAAACAGTCAGACGAATGCTATAAGGTGAACAAAACAAAACCTTGATTTAATACAAATCCATAGATTTATTAAATCTGAGCTCATGTGGAGTCCTAAAGGTTGAAATGACTTGTTCTTTTGAAACTGGATCATTTTATCACACATAAAGAAAACACTTTTACAATACCTGCCTCCTGCACATCACGGATTAAATCCTTGGCTATTTTCCCTGAATAAAAACTGTCTGCTCCATTTTTTGCAATAATCTCCAAAGTGTTGGCCAGTTTCTCAAATTTCACAATTTCTCCAGTCTTCAGCAAGTTTCCATTCTCGTCTGAATACAACTTCCTAAAAGAAGATGTAAGCAGTGAGAACCTTTGCAGCTTCCTTTGTTTTTGTGATTTTTTTTACCTTAGAGGCTGAGTCATGTTTTCATCTGGAATGTATGGGATGTATTCTCCTTGAACTGGTGGAACTGGAAACCCTTTCCTAGCCAGCTCGATGGTTGGCTGAAAGAGGTCGGCCCACGGTAACTTTCCATAAAGCTTGTGTGCCTTTTCATAGCCTCGAATTTCCCCTGGAACGCCGATCCATTTGCTTCCTAAAACAACAGCCCGCGATGGAATAGTGATTTTAGTGGAGTCGTGGTTTCATTTGATCATAAATAAGAGCGCTTCCAACATTTTATGTGGAGGCCACTTTCTAAAACTGTGTATTTTCCCGGTCTAGATCTTTATCAGCTTCTCATGAACTAGGTTTACCTTTGCTCTTGCCTTCATCCCATTTAGACATTACCCAGAGGATCGTCTAAACAATGATCTTGTGGTGTGCTCTCTGCTGTGCTGTTTACTTAAGTAAGATGAGTGTCATAACTAGATCAACATTTATTTTTCCACTGTGTGTGGGTTCTAGGCTCAGAGCTTTGCATTCATTTCAAAGCAGTAAACCGAGTTTTACAGTACTGTTCGTTAAACTGACCACAAAACTGAATTTAAATCCATTTCCAACAAAAAGCCAACTAACAAGTCTCAACAGTACATATGCTACTCCTTTCTTTTTCCTGTTGCAGTAACTTCTAAATATGAATCCCTCAACAGAGAAAACTGATCCCTGATAACACTCACAGAGCAGGAAAAACAAGAAACGCTCTCTGCTCAGATCAAAGTACCGATGCAAATGTTAGACATGTTCGAGCTGTGAAATACCTATCAGCTGCTTTGAACAGGACGTCAGCAGGTCTGGTTCCACTTGTGAGGGCACAGTCTCTCTGGAGTTGATTATTTTCACCTCACCTTTAAAACAGATTGAACATGATGAGTTAGCTCTGGCTCACAGCTGCAGCAGATGAACGCATGAATGTCTCTGTCACCAGAGCTGTCCATCACTGTGAAGATGGAGCCCCCTCCAATCCCTGCACTCTGTGGGTTCATGATGGAGGTGCAGAGGAGAGCAGCAATGGCGCCATCTACTGCGGAGCCTCCTTGTTGGAGAATGTCTCTGTAAAAGAATCACTCACTCATCACGTTCCGTGTCTGGAAACCGATTGTCACAAACAATAATTCCTATGGGGTTTGCAAAAATAGAATTAGGGTTTGTTTTGTATACACGAATGAGCTGCAGGTGGAATTTCTGTCTTTATGGCATATTTTGAATGACTCAACTGCTTATAACATTTTTATAACAGATCTTAATTTACAAAAATGAAAGAAAAAAACTGAAAATATATTTATACCAAATAATGAGACATGTTACTATAAACACCCCAGTTTCCAATTTCACTCACCTTCCAATCTCGGAGCATTTCCATGAGTCTGCAGCAACAGCAGCTTTAGGGAAAGTGTCTCGTGGGCATTTGCGCCTCAGTAAAGCGAGGCACACAATTATGGCAATAGCAAGCAGCACCAAAAGCGCGCAACAAGTGTACACCCTCGTCTTGGAGCGCGCCATAGCTCAGATCTGCTGATGTCTTATGTCCAACTGCTTGTAAAGGACTGCGGCGTGTCGGTTTGTCGCATCAGGAAGAACAGCCGCGGATCCTCCTCCTGCCTGGAGCGCGGGAGGAGGAAAGAAAAGTTGTTGAGCCAACAATCCTCTGGTGTTTGTTTTGCACTTCCGCCATGTTTTAGAATTATTTTATGTTATATTTGTTGTGATATATGTGGCACTAGCAAAGTAAATAAAATAAATACACATTTTTTTCTAAATATTATTTTAAATGATTTATACTGAATATTTAACATGTAAAAGTGCAGACTGCCAACTGAATTTCATGTGCTGTGTCCCTCGTCTCCTCAGTTCATTCCATGTTTCTCCAGATGTCCTAGTCCTCTCTGTCCCTCCATCTCCCCTTACAACAGTATAAAAGCGACCAATGTGCTTCACAGAAATTGAAACATTAAAAAACAAAACACAACCTAAAAATGCATAAAAAATAAATTTTAAGAACGAACACTAAAAGGACTAAAAAGTATAATCCCTCACTCTTAAAAATGCTGGGTTATTTTTCTAACCCAACTGCTGGGTTGAGGCTGAATTTTTAGAGGTTGGGTCAATTTAACACATCATTGGGTTAAAAATTCTGACCCAGCATATTGGGTTAAAAAATTCGGGAAATAGTAAGATCCTCCCCTTTGTCTGTGAGCCCGCTTCACCATTTTAAACCAGAGGATGACACGGACATTAATGGAGCTCCACACCAGCAAGGATTTAAAATAAGGTAAGACGTTACTAATAAAGAGTTTAAAGATTAATTTCATTAAAACTGGACATGTAGTTAATAAAGTAACTGATTATTAGCCTGTCTGTTCAAGACAATCGACTCATAGTTTTGATTAGGTAGCTGGCTACTTAGCTTCCTAGCATCGATATATATATATATATATATATATATATATATATATATATATATATATATATATATATATATATATATATATATTAGATAGAATGTAACACAGAATCCGCAGCACAAGTGCTCTGGAAAATGATGTGATCTTCTGTCCACACTCCCTGACATAGTGAGGCTCTACTGGGGGACGTTAGGCCTTCTGGCTATTTTATACCAGTGGTAGCATCCCTGCTAACAGCAGAGGGCCTTTATGCTACAGTCATGTGAATAATGTAACACATTTCAATTTTACAGACAAATGGGTGGGTGTGGCTTTGTTGTTGCTGCCAGTGCTTCTCCAAACTGCACCATACAAGTTGAAGGAGAGCGTTCCGACCAAGCAGAGGTTCAGCAGGCCTTCACTGACTTCCAACCAGTAAGTTCTGTTATTTTTTACTTCAGTTATCATTCACAGCCCACTCCAAATATGTTTCAACAGCTTTTTGTGAAATCATAACCTTTAGGCCTAAATCTGTTCTTTTTTTCCTCTATCCCCCTCAACTTAGACTGGAACCAGCCTGGTGAAGAACCTGAATGGGACCACAGCGGAGCACCACATGTCCTTATGGCTGCAGAAGACCATCGATGTTCCCAAGAATTTTTGATCATCAATGGAACTGGAATACCCATCTGTTCTTAAACATTTTTTGTGTTGATGTCAACTATCCAAAACCACGTGCACAGATTTGGGGGTTTATTCAGACATTTATCTTTGCATCATGAATCTAATGCTGTGAAGCTTTAAGGGCTCATGTTGCTATGATGTAAGGTTGATGTTCTGCTGGCCAAAGCATTAAGGTGAGTGTTGGGTGTATATGGACATTTACTTCACTACAGTTCTTCCATTAAAGTCGTTTAACATGTTTAAGACATTACAAGTTACGAAATGTTTAATATTTGTCATTAAAAAAATGCAATTAGTAGTCATTTACAAAACAAGTTTGAATATGAATGCATGTTTAGAGAAAGTAGAAAATGCAACTTTATTTGTTATCTATGTATGTTGAAAATTAACATAATTTTTGTGATAAAGATTTGACTGAGACATGTTAATTTTGTTTTATTGAATTATTCAATTTGTATTTTATTTATTGTATTGTATTTACTATAAAATTGGGTCATTTTAACCCAAGTTTTAGTAATTTAATAACCCAGAAGTTGGGTTTTTTTAACCCAGTTTTGGGTAGTCCTAACTATACAGTTGGGTCATTTTAACCCATTGATTGGGTAGAAAGCATAACCCAATAAGCTGGGTCAAACTCATAACCCAACCCTGCTTGGTTAAAATAACCCAGCACTGGGTCGGTCCCTTTTTGACCCAGAACCTGGGTTACAAAACAACCCAAATTGGGTTATTTTTAACCCAGCAGTTTTAACAATCAAAATGAAAAAGCATTTCTCAAAACTGCTTTTTAATTTTCTTCTTCATCATTGCTTATTCTGTGACTTAATGAAAAGTATAAAGAAAAAAAATATTTGAGAACTAATTTTCAAATAACACTCCAGCAAATGTGTAACAACATTCTATTTGAAATGTCAAATCTTAAAATTAAAATGCATTAGCAGAAATGCATTTTCATTGTCATTTTACAACTGCTTGGTGTGACTCACAATTAAAATGATATAGCAATCCTCTAAACTGCTTTTTAACTTTCTTTTTCATCATTGCTTATTCAATAAGAAAGAGGAACTGATTTGTCTTTTTCATGCCCGCCCTGCCTAAAGTGTTTCAGAATTCAAATTGAATTGGCCACCTGAGCGGCGCTATGTGAAAATATGAACCAGTACTTATCCTTTTAAAGTATGTGTCAAAACTTTGATACCCAGAAAGCGTTTTTTTTTTCTTCATAGAATAGATTCACACTGCTTGAAACTTGTTCGAAATAAGTGAGAATATGGCCTTGAAAACGTTAGTTTTTTTTCTTTTCTTTATGGCAGTTATTTATTTATTTATTTTGGTGTGAAAACATTGTTTTGTGTTGTTGAATTGTAAGCGATCTTTTAGTTCTAAATTCTGGTTTTACACAAGCGATGTTGTACTGTCATTTCCCAGTGAGAGTTTGTATGTGTGTAAACTAATAAAAAAAGTAATAATAAAATAAAAAATAAATAAATAAAAATCCTGAGCGGCTCAGGAGAGTGACCTCAGTGTTCGCCTCGCCAGGGCCGGCTCTAGGTAATTTGGTGCCCAAGGCGAGACTGCCCATTTGCCCCCCCCCCCCCCCCCCAGCCCGCACGCCCCTCACCCAAACCCATATCCACCCACCCACCACACATTGGAAAAAGCAACTCCACAGTTATTCCTTAGTTACTAATTTTTTATTTTAAATATTCACACAGCAACTCTTTAAAGTCAACAGCCTGAAGAATAAATGTAAGCTTGAATGATAAGTAACCTGAGAATATTACAATAACCAACAACTCAAAATGTTGTGCAAATGTCATTGGGGGGATGCAAAATCAAAAGCAGCATTAAACTGTGCAATCAAAAGCAAAACTCAAATATCAGTGTCATCATAAAGAAAGTTCTACTTTCCATTTTGTTCAACTGCTGTGGCCAGTTAGCAGGATCCATGGGGCCAGCTCATACATGTTCACAGACATCTGTTGAAGCTGATGATAGTGTCTCTTCAGGCTGTTGGATTGGAGCACTGAGTCTGCTGGTGTTGGGTTCTTCTTCTGTGAGAAAAGAAACACACACACACACACACACACAAAGCAACTTAACCCTCTGATGCATGCCACTTTCACGTTCAATATTCCTCAGCCATGTGCAGTGATGCTTTTCATTATTTTTAATGTTACTGGACTTTTTATTTTATTGATCTTTTTTAATCTGTTCTATGAAAACATGAATACAATTATCAAAAACAGGCGGAAGTGAGTGCATCCATGGGGAATGTTTGAAAAAACGTATGTCTCACTCTCAGGTGCTCTTCAGCATCAAATAAATTGTAGAATATGAGAAAGAAGAACCGGTGATCTGTGGCACTCTGAGGTTTTCATTTATTAAACAAGGAAACACCGACGCGGGCCCGGTGGCAGCGGAGACTCCCCTGCTGCCGCCGGTCCGCGGGGGAGTCCCCGCCACGGCCGCGGCGGTGCCGCCCGCCCGATGTGTCGGACAAAGTTGAAATTTTGCTACACCCACACCTAACGTTCTTCTGATATGAAAATATTAAATTCGTATTGTATGCGTACTTAAAACTTGAATCGAAGTTCATAAAAAGGCTGCAATCATATTCCAAAAAACGGTTAAAAAAATCTTACATTCTTCATCTTCACAGTGAGGCTCAGCAGGTGTAGAAGACAGTCCCGCCCCCGTGGTGTCAACAGGTGCATGTCGACAGGCTGCAGATATGTCTCACTGCATCTGGACACGACGATTCAAAAGTAAAATTAATTGGTTAAAGTTATGAGATACTGTATTGTGTACATAAACAGCTAGCGAGGGTCCGTCCGTGGACCGTGTGTGGCAGGAGAGGCAGTTAGCTACAATGGTAACGCAAAAAGTTATTTAGCCAAATTTATAAAGTCTACATACCTCTACTTTGGGCCCATTTTTTTTTCTCCTTCCTTCGCTTTCGGAATGCTGATCCCGATGGCTTTGGTGTTCTTTTCATCGTAAAAGATATCAAAAGTTTAAACGCGACGACAACAGGATGTCCTTCTACAGTGCCCCCCACGCACGTGATCTACGGCACCCTTAACGGGTCAAATGCATCGGAGCGGTGGCCCAAGCGGGAGGTCGTCATGCAGCCAGATCATTAGAATTTAAATATTGATGTTTTAATTTCATGTCATTTCAGAGGGGAATTTTGAGTATGTAGAGAGTGCATTTGATATTACAAACATAAATGTAATAAACTTTTTTTAATTTTTTTTATTTTGCACCCTATCCATCAGATGGCGCCTCAGGCGGCCGCCTGTGTTGCCTGTCGCCAAAGCCGGCCCTGCGCCTCGCTCTTCTGTATGTATGTCGATGTTCTGAACCAAGTTTGACCTCACCGCACTACGCATTTAGTACACTAGGGGGCGGTGTATACGTAGACACAAAGGAAACGCCCTCAGTTGGCTGCTGAGAACAGGAAATGCAGCTGCGATCTTGGACCGGTTCCCTTGGACTGTAGTGGAAGGTAATCCCCCGAGCCCTCTCCCGGAACTGAAGATGGCGGAAGGAGCAGATGTTCTGTAAGGAGCTCCGGTAGCAACCTCAAAGAATGGTCTAATTTAAGAACTATTATTACTTAATGATTAATGAAAAATCTCACCGGAAATATAAAACTACCCTCTACAACTAGTACTGGTATTAGCTAAACAAGAGTGGATGAGGCCATACATGAAACACGAAGAAATGGCTAAAGCTAACAGCAAAGCTCACAAAGCCCTGCTAACTCACGACTACCTTGGTTCGGAGAATATGGACACCAACTCAAGAGGTAATAAAAACCCACTTTCATCACCCTGCAAAGCCACAACGTCACACAAAAACAAAAAGGAGAAGAAGAAACCAACTCTAATGTATCCAACAGTGCGCTACTAGCCGCCATTGAAGGTCTACAAAAAATGATGGAAAGCTTTGGCGCTGACCTCAAAGTACACTCATCCCACTTAGAAATTCGGACTATAAATTGCTTACTTACATATTTACCTTACGCCTCCAGTCAGGAATTTCAGATATTGTCAGTGAATCACAATCCGGTTTTCTAAAAGGCAGATCGATCCATAATAATATTAGATTGGTAATGGACTTAATTGAATACAAAGATCTGATTACTGACAATGGATTCATACTTTTCCTAGACTTTTACAAAGCCTTCGACTCTGTAGAACATCAGTTCATCTTCTCAGTCTTAGAACGCCTGGGTTTTGGTACCAACTTTATCAACTTAATTAAAGGCCTATATGACAACATAAACAGCTGTGTCATCC